CATGAGTGTTTGAAAATGTTGTTTTATGTGGCACGAATTATATGAATTAATAAATGACTATTATATTTTTGTTTTTTTTTTGTTGTGTTTTAACAAATGCTGACAATGTTTGTTATGATTTCCAATTTGTTGTTTTAGTTGATTGTGTTAGTGTAATGTAATTTCAGTTTTTGTGTTGGTGTAGTGTGATGGAGGAAGAACTTGGTGAACAAAGTGACAAAGGAAGTGATAGAAGGAAGAAGGTACGTAGGATTGTATTTGATTTCCAAACATTTGTTGTTTGACTGTATTTAATTAGTAAGCATGACTTCGTATGCAGTTAGTTTTTAGACACTACTGCATAACCAAGATGATAGGTTTTTTGAACGAACGGTTGACTATTGAGCAGAAGGGTTACATTGAGTAGAGTGTTTTTGGTTGGTTGTTATACTTGCCAAGTTGTATTAAGATAGGTTTGAATTTGTTATCTAAGTTATGTGGTCAATGGGTAGATAACATGAGTGGGTTTTATTTTGGTTGGTTGTTATACAATTTTCTTAAAATGGGGACCAAATATCTTCATTTTGAAACCGGGTACTAAATAAAAATTCACCTCTTAACTTGGGGACGAAGTAATCTATTAAGCCTAAAAATTATTAAAAGATTAAACCTAACAAAAATTATCAAATAAAAATTATTAAAATATCGTTTTCCTTTGATAAAAATATGCATTAAAGAAAATACACACTCAAGGAGATTAAAAAACAATGGTTTTCCATATTATATGTTTAAATACCAACTTCTACTATATTAGAAAAGAACTTATATGATATTTTTTTTCAATCTTAATACATGGTATTGTTGTGTCTTAAGTGACAAATTTTTTATTTGATATGTGATAATTTTAAAAAAAATTATTTTTTAAAAGAGAAAAAAACTAATTTGATGATTTAATTAAGATTTTTGAAAAGTATGAGTGAGTGTTTAACTCTTAAATACAAGATAAATAATAATGTAATTATTCAAAATTTCCATTAACACCTTTTCATGAATTTGCTATCATTTATTTAAATAAATGCTTGCATAATTTACTAATATTCTAATTATCATAAATAATTTTCTTGAAAATGATATTTAGAAAAAATAATAAAGAAAATAATCGTCTAACTTCTTATACTGGCCACGTTTCCTTTCTCTCTCACTTCACACATCGATCACCGAAAACTCCATACATCAAAACTCAAATCGATTCAAATTCTCTGTTTGTTCATTCTTCAATTTTGTCTCTTCGTTCTAACAAATCAAACTTGATTCAAATTCTCTTCGTTCGTTCTTCCGCTTTTATTCTCTCAATTTTCAGGAATCAAACCTAGGCGAAGTGATGAATCCCGAGAAATTTACGCAGAAGACTAATGAGGCTCTCGTGAGTGCTCACGAGATGGCGGCGAGCAGTGGCCACGCGCAGTTCACTCCTCTCCATCTGGCGTCCTCTCTACTCTCCGACAAGGGGGGAATCTTCTCCCAGGCGCTATCCAACGCGGCGGGAGAGGAATCAGCGCGGGCGGCGGAGAGAGTGTTCAGCCAAGCGCTGAAGAAGTTGTCCTCGCAATCTCCTCCTCCTGGAAGATTCTCAGATCATAGAGTTGCTCAGGAAAGCCGGTGTTGCGGCACCGAAGGTGAAATCAGAAGTCGAGAAGCTTCGCGGCAAGGAGGGAAGGAAAGTGGAAAGCGCCACGGGTAACACAACCTTTCAGGTACTAAATTTAGCTTAAATAATTTATCGAAGAGCTAATAAGATTTTCGGTTTAGTTTTTCCGATTGAATAAACGCAATGAATTTAATTTAGTATATTTTGTACGATTTAAGATTACTATGATAATTTGATAATTTCATATCGGTAGGATGATAATTCCTGAAAAGAAATAATATGATTTAGTTAACTTTGAAATATGAGTTGTACTAGTTTGATATAAAACATTTGTTTAATAAAACGAGTGAAGCATTTAACAAGTTCATATAACTCACATCGTATATATCTCTGTTTTCAGGCTTTGAATACCTATGGAAGAGACCTTGTGGAACAAGCAGGGAAGCTCAACCCGGTTATTGGAAGGGATGAGGAAATACGAAGGGTTATGAGAATTTTATCTAGAAGTACCAAAAACAACCCGGTTTTGATTGGTGAACCGGGTGTGGGAAAAACTGCTGTGGTTGAAGGGTTGGCTCAGAGGATCGTTAAAGAGAATGTTCTTAGGAATCGTGCTGATGTTAGGCTCATTGCATTGGACATGGGTGCGTTGGTTGCGGGCGCAAAGTATATAGGGGAGTTTGAGGAGCGGTTGAAGGCAGTTTTGAAGGAGGTGGAAGAGGCTGAGGGGAAAGTTATTCTATTCATTGATGAGATTCATTTGGTTCTTGGTGCTGGAAAAGCTGAGGGTTCCATGGATGCTGCTAATTTGTTTAAGCCTATGCTTGCGCGGGGTCAGTTGAGGTGCATTGGCGCCACCACGCTTGAGGAGTATAGGAAGTATGTAGAGAAGGATGCAGCCTTTGAAAGAAGGTTTCAGCATGTGTACGTGGCAGAACCAAGTGTTGTTGATACTGTAAGTATACTTCGTGGTTTGAAAGAAAGATACGAAGGTCACCATGGTGTAAGGATTCTTGATCATGCTTTGGTTGTTGCGGTTCAATTGTCTAGTCGCTACATCACTGGTATGTGCTGCTCTGTTTTAGTGTATTCTTTAATTGGCAATACAGTATATTAGTTTTGATTGAAATTGTAAGTTATTTAAATAAGTTATAGGTTATAGGTTTAAATAAGTTATTTAAATGAATAATTTCGGTTGTGTAGGTCGTCATCTTCCTGACAAGGCAATTGATTTAGTTGATGAGGCCTGTGCGAATTTGAGAGTCCTACTTGATAGTCAGCCAGAGGAAATTGGCAACCTTGAAAGGAAGAGAATGCAATTAGAAGTGGAACTTCGTGCTCTGGAGAAAGAGAAAGACAAAGCCAGCAAAGCTCGTTTAGGAGAAGTAAGTGTTGATGAGCTGCAACCTTTGATGATGAAGTACAAAAAGGAGAAGGAGAGGATAGATGAGATTCGAAGACTAAAGCAAAAAAGAGAAGAGCTGAACTTTGCTCCTCTAGAGGCTGAAAGGCGATATGATCTTGCTAGAGCTGCAAATTTGCGGCATGGCGCAATTCAGGAGGTGGAATCTGCAATTCAAGAGCTTGAAGGGAACACTGAGGAAAATGTAATGTTGACAGAAACTGTTGGACCTGAACACATTGCTGAGGTTGTTAGCCACTGGACTGGCATACCAGTGACAAGACTCGGGCAAAACGATAAAGAAAGGTTGATTGGTCTTGCTGACAGATTACAGCAGAGAGTTGTAGGGCAAGAACAAGCCGTTAATTCTGTAGCAGATGCTGTGCTGAGATCAAGAGCCAGGCTTGGGAGACCTCAACAACCAATGTGCTCCTTCATGTTCTTAGGTCCAACTGGTGTTGGAAAGACCGAGCTTGCAAAGGCCCTCGCTGAGCAACTTTTTGATAATGAAAATCAGTTGGTTAGAATTGACATGTCTGAATATATGGAGCAACATTTTATTTCAAGCTTGATTGGTGCATCACCTGGGTAAGTGGATTGACTCTTTTCCCTTTTCAGCTTACTGTGATTTTTGGGTGTGAAGTACGGATGACTAACCCACATTTTAAACTTTCAGGTATGTTGGACACAAAGAAGGTGGTCAGCTAACTGAAGCAGTAAGTGTGATACTGTTTGATGAAGTAGAAAAGGCACACATATCTGTGTTTAACACTCTTCTTCAAGTCTTGGATGATGGAAGGTTAACTGATGGCCAAGGCCGCACTGTGGACTTTAGAAACACAGTCATTATCATAACCTCTAATATTGGGGCAGAGCACCTCATTACTGGACTTTCAGGAAAATATTCCATGCAAGCAGCTCGTGATAAAGTAATGCAGGAGGTATATTTCTTGGCACAATTTTTATTACAAATGACTGAGTTTTTTGTGTGTTTTCTTTGTTGTGACTCGTGTCTTCTGAATATGTTTTCAACAGGTAAGAAAAAATTTTAGGCCAGAACTGTTGAAACGGCTTGATGAAATTGTTGTATTTGATCCTCTTTTCCAAGAGCAAGTAAGGAAGGTTGCAAGGTTACACATGAAGGAGGTTGCTTCTCGTCTTGCTGAGAGGGGAATTGCAATGACAGTGACTGATGCAGTTCTTGACTATATCCTTAGTGAGAGCTGTGATCCGGTTGGTATCATTATCATGATGATATTGTAAACATTGTTTACTGCACAACAGAGGCTGTGAGTACTTAATAAGGTTTGTTATGTTTCAGGTTTATGGTGCTAGACCAATTAAGAGGAGGCTTGAGAGAAAGGTTCTGACGGAGCTCTCTAGAATGCTTGTGAAGGAAGAAATTGTTGAGAACTCAACCGTTTACATTGATGTTGATCCTGCGGGCAGCGAGCTAATCTACCGGGTGGAAAAGAACGGAGGGTTGGCTAATAACTCTGTATGACCAAGAGAGGTTCAAGTTGATGCTTTTGGTTCTTTTGAACAATTTCTTTTCATACTAAGTTGATGATTTTCTTTTTTTAAGCAACTTTTTTTCTGCATGAGAGTTGTTGAAGGATGAATATCCCTATTGTTGAATTTTGTTTCAGGACATAAGCTAAATATAAATTGAATGTTATTTTCCTAATCTTGAATCTCACTCAAATCACTTTCTCAGCAAATTGCAAGTTTATACTTCATTTTTTGGTGAATATTAGTATTGGTCAGAAAATAGGTAAACAAAGAAGATTTATTAAGTAAAATATTTGTTACTTGATATTAGAATTATTAAAATTAATTTTCTTCTGAATGAACAAATTGTTTCATTATTTATGTTTATGAATTTAAGGACGTGCTTGGAAATTCTTAAAATCAAGAATCATTTATATTAATTCATAACTACATTTAACAAGTAATTTAATTCTAAAAAATCTTAAGAATAAATTGAGTTCACAAAAGAACAAATACATACACACACTAAAATAAAATCAAAATTAAACTCTAATAATACTTATTCAAATTCAACGTCCACAACATTACACTTTAAAATCAATTATAGGTTATATTAAATTAAAGAAACGTATGTAGTAAACGATATCAATACACACTAAAAATATACAAAGAAAAAGGTTTAGTCAACATTTACCAACTTTCATCCAACTTAATTCACTTAAAAATCCAACATTAAATTATAATTCATTATTCAGACATATAAATTTGGCACGATACTATAATATATAATTCTCATAATTTTACTAAAAGTTTTCTATTTAAAGAAATTGTAAATCTTTACCATGGTTTGTTATATGATAAAAATATGTTAATATATAAATGATTTTTTTTTTCTATTTTTTGAAGTACATACAAACATAAATTTATGGACACCATCGATCTCAAACTATAATGCATTATTCTCACAATTTTACATAAAATTTTTTCTATTTAAAAAAGTTATAAATCTATAATAATTACACTTGTTTGTTATATGATGAAAAATATGTTAATATGTAAATGATTTCTTTTTTCTATTTTTTGAAACACATAAAAACATAAATTTGTGGACACCATCGACCTCAAACTATAACGCATAATTCTCATAATTTTACATAAAAGTTTTCTTATTTAAAGAAGTTACAAATCTATGGTAATTACACTTGTCCGTTATCTCATGAAAAATATGTTAATATGTAAATGATTTCTTTTTTCCTTTTTTTTTGAAGCACATAAAAATATAAACTTGCGGACACCATCGACCTTAAACCATAAAGCATAATTATCATAATTTTACATAAAATTTTTCCTATTTAAAGAAGTTACAAATTTATAGTACTACACTTGTCTGTTATCTGATGAAAAATATGTTAATATGTAAATGATTCATTAAGAGGTGAGGAACAATGTTACAAGACACCTTTTACACATTGTGTGGGTTACCAGAGGAGACTATAACTAGTTTATATTTTTACCTATGACATAGCCAACAAGGTGTGGAAAATGTGCAATAGATGGATAGGTATAAGCACTACACACCATAATCAATTACATGTTCATTTCCAAAAAAAATATCCATGTTTCCTTTTAACAACAAAGGGAAATATCTATGGAAAGGATTATGGATTTTTGTCAAATGGAACATCTGGAGTCATAGGAATAAAGTTGTTTTTAGGCAAGGAAAAGTTGATGCAGAGAAAAATTTCTCTATGAGAAAATTAAGAGTGTGGACATGGATGAAACACAAAATTTCTATTGTGAAGTTTTCATACGTAGAATGGTTTCAATGCCCAATTGAGTGCATTGGATATGTCTCATAGGTAGTATAGAGAGGTATAACTTAAACATAGGGGTAGCTAAGAAAGGGAGAGATAAAATAACTTGTAATAGAGAAAGAAAGGGAATAGTATATAAGATACTGGAAATGCTTGTGTTTGTATCCAAATTTTGTGTAGGTATTTTGAAGCTACCACTAAGGAAAACAAAGTTTTATACCCACTGTAAAGGCGTACAAAATGATTTTGAAAGCTGATTACAGAAAGAGAGTTGAACTGGTGTGAAAAACCTTGTAAAGAATGAAGCAATACTCTAATAAGTGTTTGATGCAGTGTTTTGATGTGTTAGTGCACTATTGTTTATAGGACTTAGATTGGCTAATATTTTGTAATTTTTTTCCGCAATATGTTGGGTTGGGTAGGTATATTTCTAAGCTGATGTACAAGTTTGGCAGGAAAAAGTAATTAAGAGATATATTATCACAATCCATGTTGTAATTATCATGTAAGGGTAATTGTACCCCAAGTACTCCATTTATAAATATATGGTTTTCTTTGCTCATAAAAAAAAAGTTTAATTATGTTTTTAGTCCCTATTTTGGTATGAAAATCTCAAATTGGTTCAATAATTTTTTTTGTTTTGATTAGGTCCGCATATTTGAAAAGATGATATAAATTAACAACGTTCACTAGTGCAACGAAGACATACGACAACGATTATTTTCACATTATAGCAACGGTTTCATAACCGAGACATATTGAGATAAGGTAAAAAATGAAATATTTTTGGTCTTTTCTTGTTGAGTACAAACAAAGTCCCACATCGGATAAAGTATGAAATACACATGGGTTTATATACACATAACATACATCCTTTTGGAGCAATACCAAAAGCAAATCCATGGTTTTATTAAAATAGGTTATTGATCACTGAATACATGAATTCAAATTTATTCAGGATTAACCTGGTTTTAATAAAACATTTTTCACTTTATCTTTCATACTATGTAATATAGTATATTGATCGATATTAATAGAAAAATAAAATTATAAACATGAATTTATAAAGTTTGAATTTTATTTGAAAACCTCATAAAAACCATAACATATATCAAAAGTAAATAGTTATAAAAGTAAATAAATATAATATATCGTATTTAAATTCACAACAACAAATTAAATTCCTTAATAATAAAAATATCTTAAAATAATCAACCATAATAAGGAAAATATATATTTTGAACCCAAGGATACAACCTTTCTTCTTCTTTTTTGCTTTTAAAAGAATATTAGTGAAAGTATATGAAATTTTCTTTTCGGGGTTGTACAAAATGTGCCTATTTCTTTTAAAAATTAAATAAATATTGTCATTTTTAGTATAATAAAAATAATAATGTTACATGTGTTTAAAATTAAATTAATATGTTATTAGAATCTTTTGTTTTTTATTTTTGTTTTGTAAGATTATAATAATTGATTGTTCTTTCAAAATTAACTGTATATTAATTTTAATTTGTTCTTAAGAAGTTTATGACACCAATACTGAAAGTTAAATACGTATTTAATTACCTTAAATATTAATAAATTTGAAACGAAATTATCTGAATTGAAGATTTTTACAAAACAATGTTGTGACTTTTTTATGTAATAGTCATATAAAAAATTGACTATTTACCTTATTTTAAATATAAAAAAAGTTGGTATAATTTATAAGAATAATAGAGAAATGTTGTTAAGAAAGTAAATAAATAATTTTGATGAATTTATTGTTAATTTTCGTTAGTGGGTTGACCGAGATAGGTGGAAAGTTCTTAGTCAGTCAGAAATGCATTGTTTTGGCATATGCTCTTACACTAATTATTAAACAAATCTCAATCATCATCATTAACATCTAATTACGCCAATTAATTATTATTAGTTATTCTTTTTTCAATTTACCTATTAAAGTAAAAGTTAAACTCATGCCTTTGTCGGTTGTTATGCAATATTCCAATTTCAAAGTCTTCATTTCAGAGTTAACCACTCACCACCATCAACTAACAATTTTAAAACTATTTTCTTCAACTTAAGGAAAAAACCTTTTTTTTCAATGAGGTTTCAATTTTGAAAAATTAATTCAATTAAATTATTTTGTGTTATTATTTTACTAACAGTGTTAGATTATATATCACGTATCAATTTATAATTTTTATTTATTTTTAATTTGTTTAAAACTTTTTTGTCATCCATATGTTATTATGTGGTGTGTCACCTGACACTTAGGGTGCAACATATTACTGATCATGTGTCCTTTTTTATATTTAATTTAAATTTTATATTCGTTTTTCTGATTTTTTTTAAATTAAACAATATTATTTTCTTTAAAACTAGACTAAATTTATTATTTGTATAAATATCATATTGATATTTATAGTAAAATTAATTTTTTTATTAAATATTTATAGAATTGTTTTTAAATAAACTCTATTGATATTATTGAATTTTATTTAAATGAATTATTTTAATCCTATAAAAAATATAGACTAATAATATAGTAGTTTTAAATGCTTATTCTTTTTTAAATGAAACTTAAATTTGTTTAATAAATATAATAATATTTATATGATAAATAACAAAGTATTATCTAACTTAAAATAAAAAATAAAAAAATAAAATGTAGAATAAATATTTGCATATCAAAATTTAAAATAAAAATAATTAAGAAAAATCAAGTTTTATATATAATAAAAAAATTAAAATATACAATAATTTAAATGATTAATATCTATTGTCATTTCTAGTGCACCTCCACTTTTTAATTAATATCCAACATCAAATAAAACACTTAATTCTAATACACCCCCTTCTTACTCTAAACACACTCCCTTCTATATCTATATTTTCAAATGGACCCCAAAACCATTAAATTTACATTTTCTCTCACTTCCAAAGTAGGTCCCACTTTAAGTCACTCATTTCTCACCTAAATCACTCTTTCTCTCTTCATTCTACGTAACACACACCCCATGCATTCCCATCCTCTTTTCTTTTCTTTTTTTCTACCCATCACGTAACCACTCACACTTCTCCCACTCATCACACGGCAATCACATACACACACCTCTCAAACTTTCACTTTTTCTTTCTCAACTAAAACTCAAAAACCACCTTCATGCTTTCTTATCTTTTTCTATTCCACTTTCAAGAAAGGCCATTGAAACGTAAATTGCCCATCATATCTCCCCCATTTTCTTTCTTTTTTTTCTTTGCTTTCAAAGGCCAAGCTTCTTCCTTCATGATCTTTGGTCCTCTTCCAACAATGAAAGAGAATTCTCAATACTCTCTTACCCACACTCTTGGTTAAAGAGTATAGATAAATGCTCTTTAAAGTATATATAATTCT